TTTCCCTCTTATTTTTCTGAGAATTTCACCAAAGGAGCTCTTCTTTTTATTGTTCTGGCTAGGAATTATCACCGTTCATTCTTTTTGTTTCTGAAGTTTGCAAAATTTCCAAATGTAAAATGTGTCTAGTTTATATTGATAACGAGATTTCATCTTGTGTGAGAGGCCCGGTTCAATCCCGTCAGATTTAATAAGGTTACCTTTTAAAGAAAGTTGATTAAATCGAGGTTAGTAATTGCATAGGTAAATTTTATTATTGTCGGGAGGAAAATTCTCAATATTACTTTTAGAAAATAAAATACAATCTTAATTATAGAGGTGACAATAAAATATGTTAAATTTTCTATTATATAATAATAAAAATGACAATAAATACATGATATGAAAAGAGCAATATACTTCAAAACTTAAAACTCTATAACAATATAATAGAGCAACCTAGAGGACCCTCAACCAGATAGAACAACTCCATAATTATTGAGCAGGAATATTTTTTTGCGAGTTATTATTCTTAAAAAAGAAGGAAAAAAAAATCTAAGCTTGAGAATTTTAATGATATGGGATTTGAAGGTTGAGTCAATGAAATGAAGTTCAACAACCCAAACCCCGGGCGTTGACTTTTTGATATTAATTTGTGAGGGAAAACTGCCAAGTGCCAAGTGAACAACAAAGCATTCACTTAAAAAAAAAAAAAAGAGTGAAACAATAAAACAGGTTGGTTAACAACATCGCCACTCAAAACATTTGTCCTTGCTCTTTCCTAATTCCTACAACAACAAGAGCAAAAGACCATTCAATCCCAAAAAAAAAAAAAAAAAAAAAAAAAAAAAAAAAAAAAAAAAACAAAAAACAAAAAGAAAGACTCATTGATTATTATTAAAAATAGTTTGAGAAAAAAAAGTAAAAACATAGATAAATTTGAAGGTGGAAATAAAACATGGTACAGGACAAGAAGTAAAGCAACCACAAAGTGGGTTTCATGGTAACTGCAAAGAAAAACAGAACAGAATAATATATATGTCCCTACAAAACCAACATACCATACAATTCTTTTATATAAATCAGAACCCACTTTTTCTTTCCATTTCTCTCCCTCCTCATCATCTATCCACTGCTTCCCTTTTATTACCATTTTTGGTCCTTTAATATATATATTTTTTCTCGTGCTTTCCCCAGGACCAAACAAAAACTCCTCCAACAACTCATGTTCCAGTTCATCACATAAAACTTCCAAGAAGAAATAGGTTGAAAATTTAGTTAAATTACTATCTAGTACGTCATGGGTCTCTGCTTTGGAACTCCTGCTGCTAATGATCCCAGGCCTCTCTTCATCGCAACACCCACTAGTCCAGGTACAGCTATTCAACAACCCACAAAAATTGCAATTTCTCAACCGGGTCTTCTTTATTTCCACCATATTTTCTGTTTTTGACGATGAATCTCAACTGGGTTTCTCTCTGTTTCCAAATTCAATGCGTACTCAATTACTGTTTATACTTCTTTTTTTGTTTTCTTGTTTTTACTAATTATTGTTTGGGAAGCAAGAAAGTAGTAGTAGGGAGAGAGAGAGAGAGAGTGAATCTCTAGTTTATAGAGGGGGAGAAAGAAATGATGAAGATGAGCTCTTCTAATATATTATGAAAACCTTAGATTAATCAAGTTACAATATTTAGTACAATACAACTAATATTAAGGACAGAGTCTTAATAACCGTTATAACAAATACCTCCGGTCAAGTCTGTAAATAGTTAGAGTATCAATGATTATTTGAGATTTTTTTTTTTTTTTTTTGGGCATTGGTTAGGAACGTCAAGTAATCATAGCAAGAACACTGTTGGGTTGTCGGGGACGAGCAGCAGCGCGGAGAAGAGCCAGTTTTCGAAGGCGGTGAGTGCGAGTGGGGGCATGGAGGAGAGTCAGCACCCGAACGGGCAGTTCTTGGACACACCTAACTTGAGGGTGTTCACTTTCTCGGAGTTGAAGGCCGCCACAAAGAATTTCAAGTCGGACTCGGTGCTCGGCGAGGGCGGCTTCGGGAAAGTCTTCAAGGGCTGGGTGGATGAGAGGACTCTGAACCCTTCTAAGGCTGGGACTGGCATGATGGTTGCTATTAAGAAGTTGAACTCCGAAAGCGTGCAAGGTTTTCAGGAGTGGCAGGGGCTTCTTTTTTTTTTTTTTTTTTTGGTTGTTTTTTGAATTAATTCTGCTCTGGTAGTTAATTTAGTTATTGTCCATGATGGATTATTATTGTACTAAGGCGTAATGATGTTTAAAAGTAACATGACAATCAAAATATTAATGTCAACATACATGTGACTATATTTTGGTCTCATATTTGGGACGTATATGAGACCAAAATATATAGTAAAAGTGAGTGTGGGTTTAGTCCTATACTAGACTTTGCAAACAAATATATATATTTTTTCTTTTGACTCCCCAATTTTGTCTATACACTCATCAATTCATTTAAGCATTTAATTAGTAACTACTTCTCCTGTGCAAAGTAAAACAACTGTTTTTGGGGGTTTGTTGTATTAGGATAGCTTAAGCATGATTAACCTAGTTTACCAAACTCAGGATTTGTATTTGCCGTATTAATTGTTTTTAATTCGACTGCAGAATTTAGCAGATGAAGACAGGGGTCGCTCTTGCATGACATGTTACTTTGGGTATTAATATTGATTAAAGAATCTTTTTTTTTTCAGTCTTTAACAGTGCATGAGTTGGTAGAGATATTGATTATGTCATTTAGTCCCACTATTTGTCTCATTTTAAGCCATGAAATGAACCCTAAGTTTGAAATAAAGAAATAATTATGACATGATTTTTCTTTCCTTTGCCCATTACTTATTCCAAATCTAATTGTCAATTTGGGGCAGGGCCTTATAATGTCTTTTTCTTTTGATATATATATAAATGCAGTCAGAAGTAAACTTTCTAGGAAGGCTTTCTCATCCAAACTTGGTAAAGCTATTAGGATATTGTTGGGAGGACAAAGAGTTGCTTCTTGTCTATGAGTTCATGCAGAAGGGAAGCTTGGAGAACCATCTTTTTAGAAGTGAGAACTCTTCGAATTTCACTTCAATATGAAATAATGAAAAACATATAATGTCTTTTCTCTTTTATTTCTTTTTTTTTCATAAAGTAATTTTGTTAATCTAGGAATTTCCTTCTTATTGATCAGGGCATCCTGCCATCGAGCCTCTTTCTTGGGACAGAAGGCTCCAAATATCCATAGGAGCAGCTCGAGGATTGGCTTTCCTGCACACTTCAGAGAAGAAAGTCATATACAGAGATTTCAAGGCCTCAAACATACTTCTTGATGGGGTATTGTTCTTCTTATGCCAACCCTTATATGCCATTTTTCATTCCATTATTATTCTCACATATTTCAAAGAAGATACCAACATTGAAAAACAAAACAGTCTAACTGCTAATGAAGCATTATGCTTAATTTGATTGCTAAAGAAACATTAAAAAAGATATGAAAATTTTGGTATTCATCAAACTTAATACTTGATTATTCACAATTTGGAGCTCCCTTATTCGCTTCTAGTATGTGGTCACATATTCATCTTTTAGGTTAAATTGTTGGTATACTAAATTGCTACATGTATGAAATTGATTGGCCTAATTCTTCCCAGCCTCTTTCTTGTGACTGCCTTGTGCAGAGCTACAATGCCAAGATTTCAGATTTTGGGCTAGCAAAACTGGGGCCATCTGGTGGAGACTCGCATGTGACGACGAGGATCATGGGCACCTATGGTTATGCAGCCCCTGAATACATTGCGACAGGTGACATTGAGATTTTTGCAAATACTAAATGGCATTGTCATTATTTTCGATTGATGAAATCAGATGATTCTTTGCTTGACATTATCAGTTGTTAATTCAACAGGTCATTTATACGTGAAGAGCGACGTGTATGGTTTTGGTGTTGTGATGCTCGAAATGCTAACAGGCTTACGAGCACTTGACACAAAACGCCCTAGCGGGCAGCAAAATCTTGTTGACTGGGCTAAACCGTGTCTCTCTTCGAAAAGAAAGTTGAGTACCATTATGGATGTGAGGATGGAGGGTCAATACTCGCCCAAGGCTGCATTACAAGCAGCACAACTCGCCTTCAAATGCCTAGAACAGGAGCCTAAAAATCGCCCCTCAATGAAGGATGTCGTGGACGCGTTGGAACGGATTGAAGCGATAAAAGAGAAACCAAAGCATTACAAGACTAGCTATAGACATTCCTCTGTTAAAAATCCCCATGCTTAATAGCCTATGGTCAGACTCAGACAGATCACAAAACAAGAAAATTATTAAACCTTTCAAGTTGTAATATGTAATTGAAACAATCATTGTTTTTTTTTTTTTTTTTTTCTTTTTTGTTGCTGCAATTGTTTGGATTCATCAAAATTTTTGTTGGGACAGTCCCAATTTGTTATGTATTGTCGTGTGATTATGTGGTAGAGCCAGATATTACAGTTTTTTCTGATGTAACCAAAACCAAAAAATAAAAAAAAAAGGCTGATGAAGGGTAGTTTTGACAAATTCTTGGCTATATATGTGTTGCGAAGCAGGAGAAATGGACATAATTCTACTTCCACAAATGATCTTTTCATTTCATGATTGACGAAGTTAACTAGTTACCACACTTGGTCTATTTCCATTCAAACATGATGTCCAATTGAAAGGGATTCTTTGTTTTTGGGTAATGGATTAGAAGATTTAGTAGAAAGCAAAAGGTGTAATAGAAATCAGAAATGGATGAGATATTAGTGCACTATATACTAGGCATAGCTAACATTGGAAGAAACCCACTAAAGTCCTAGTATTATTGTTATTTTATTTATATTAAATATAAGTGGCAACTAAAGTTTTTGGCTTTCTTTGAATGAAAGAAGAAACCACTGTGGTGGACAACCGAAATAATATATATTTGAGGGTCAGTCAACCTCAAATGAGATGAGAGAGAAGTTCCCTCATCGTATCAGCTTGCATGATTTGGTCATGGGGAATCTCCTTGACCATCAACATTCAACTTGACAAATAATATATGTATATATATATATATACATATATGAAAGGTCTCCAATCCGGTATGGCCAAAATTACCTGTCCGGTCAGCACAGTAAAGATAGCAGATTCATTCATTTTGGACGGTCATGATTGGAAGTTCAATTAAACATTTTGTGGGGGTGGGGGCAGGCGCCACAAAAGTTACCTATCCTTGTTTATCTAACAAAAGTTCAAAAGGTATCAGTAGTGGTGGAACTTTGGGCCGCTTGGCAAGCCCGTTGCCCGAATTTTTTGGGCTCGGCGGGCAAATTCATATGTCGGCCCGTCCAAAGTTAAAAATTCGAGCTTGGGCTTAGACAGCCCGAATTGGTCACCACGCCGGAGTCTGCCGCCGTGTAGGTGCTGTCAACCGCCGTCTGTCGGAGTTTTTTTTTTTAATTTTTCCGGCCAAGCTAGAATTGCCGGAGTGCCTGAAAAAGGTCAAAATTCTGACTGTTGGTGCCCGACCCGAAAATAAGTCAAAAACCCGAATTTTGCCCGAAAATCCGTCCAACGGCTAGTCTTTTTACCATTGTGGCCCGACCCCGCCGATTCCTAAAGTAGCTGTTGCACCCCGAATTTTTTGAAAAAAAATCAATTTTTTAACCTAAAAATTTCCCTATAAATACCCCCCATCCCTCACATTTTTCTCACTCAAACTCTCTCAATCCCTCTCAATCTTTCTCAATTTCTCTCAATATCTCTCAATCTCTTTCAAGTTCTCTCAATCTCTCTCAATCTCTCAAATCTCTATCACAATTTTCTAAAAACTATCACATTATCCTAAAGCTCTCTCTCCCAAATCGCTCTTATTTTTTTATAATGGATCTTTTTGGTTATAGTGGTATTCCCGTTGATGCCCAACACAACGTGGAAGAAGGACAATTTCCCACTAATGAATTTGTTACGCAAGAATCTACTAATCCGAGCCCTGGTGGACGTATCGGAGGTCGTAGTCGCAATGGTGGTGGGCGTGAGAAGCGGCAAGTGCCAGTGTGACTGCATCTACAAGTGTTGCAAACCTCTAGGAGGAAATGCAAGCATACTTCGACAGTTTGGGATCACTTCGACATAATTGAGGAGATCGACAATGAAGGTAATACTAAACATATAACTCAATGTATATATTGTTTATCTAAATTACAAGGTGACACTATTCACGACCCCACACACTTGAGAAGACACTCCGAAAAGTGTTTTCAAAAGCTTAGCCAATCCGGCGGATCCGAACTCCGTCAAACACAATTATCTTTTGATCGCTCAACCGGTGGTCTAACCACAAGTAGATCTTATGGAACTTGCACGAATTATAGTTGCTTTAGATCAACCACTTAGTTTTGTAAAACATCTTAATTGGCAACGATATATTAAGGTTGTACATAATTCTAATGCACAGTTCACTTCAGAAACTACTTTTAGGAAAGATTTATTAAAATGATTTAAAAAAGAAAAAGAAGCATTAATAAACATTTTACACTTGACTAGCAGGTGCGTTGCGTTAACGGCATATATTTGGTCTATCGTTGCCAATAAAGATTATTTAGTTGTAACCAGACATTACTTTAAAGGATTTGATTTAAATAAGAGAATATTGAGTTTTAAATGTGTTATAGGATCACATAGCGCGGATTTAATATATAATACCATTTTAAATGTAATTGATGAATTTAGATTAAGAGATAAAGTAATGGCTATAACATTAGATAATGCTAGTGACAATACAAAAGCAATTGAGCTCTTTGAAAATGATTTAAGTTTATTCGGTGATGGTACTATTTTCCACCAACGTTGTGTATGTCACGTAATTAATTTAATTGTTAAATTCGGTTTAAAAGAAATGGGTAATCACATTAAAAGAATTTGAGATAGTGTTGCATAGATTCAAGGTAGTAACCAAAGACAAAAGATTGATTTAGGTTATTACAAATATTAAATATACATCCTAAAATATCAGCGTTAAATATACCTATAAGATGAAACTCAACTTACTTAATGCTTCAACAATGCATCCCCCATAAGGATGATATAATAAACTATATGTGTGCAAAAATAGGCCCCGTGTGACAAATACGTATAAATATTCACAAATATTCTGTGGACAGGGACGCAATAGGTAGGGTAATTTTGGATGCTATCACGTCCATGAAGTAAATGTATAAGGCCACATATTGAAAAAAAATTGGGCCACTTCAAAGTAGGTGAACGAATGCTGGAACATTAATCTATTTGGTTTATCAAAATCTGTTGCATTAAGTGCATGTTTAATTCTGTTGAAATTTATATGTATTTATAAGTAACTGTAGCATGTAAAATGTGTGCTTGGTTGAGGGGCCTGTAAATTTGAGCATGATAAAGTTAAGTTGAATAAGCAAGAGATTTTTGGTTTGAAATAAGTAGATGTAATGTGGGGTGTTGTTTAGTTTTGAGTTTGTGAATAGTTTTGGCCGCAGATACAACACGTCGGCAAGTATGAATATATATATATTAACTGTGTCAAATGGGTTTTGGAAGGGTGTTGGAGATGAGTAGTAGCTAGCATGGCGAACCACACACAAACATATATATTAACTGCAAATATTAACTCATCCCAACTCTTATACCGCCCTCACTACATATTACGTTGCCACATTTCGAATTCATTTATAGGATATCCCGCAATTCAGGTATTGTAAATAAAACTAGGTAATTTGTTCACTTATTTCACGTATACTGTTTTGAAAGTAAAACGCTACATTAATGTCGTCGCTGTTATACAATGATACATCTTCTTATCATTTTAATGAGTTAAATTACTTAAATGCCCCGACACCGAATAAAATACTATTTTCGACCCTGCAACCCGCCTGCATTTTATCCAGCTGTCCATCTCTCGTATAAAGAAAAGAAAAAGACATCTGCCACTTGCCTCCCCCGAAGAACACCTGTCCCATTCTCTCTATTAAATATACTTCCAAAGGCTGCTCCATATATATATATATATATATTTGTTTATGTAATACATAAGTTGTGTTAATATTATATCAAAATAAAAAATATGGACTTTTAAGTCCAGGGCTGAGGGATCCACAATACAGTCATCATTGGCCTTACGACTAATAGGAGTCCAACAAGCTACAATACCTTATTATTATTGGCCCCCGCCAAAAACAAAGAAAATAGAGGACAACCGAAAAAGTCAAAAAAAATATCTTTTTTCTTTCTTTCTCTCCTTTTAGAAAAGGAAGAAAAAAATGTGGCTGTTTGGTCTATTTGTCAAGTGAAATAAAATAAAAACCAAAAACCTTTAAAAAATGAGCACCATATCCAACACAATATTTCAGACCACCTCACATTTAGGAGACGTTTGATTCATGAATTAAAATCATGTGATTAGAGTTATTTTTAAATTATGTATATTTTTTATGAGAAAAAATACTATAACGAACCATGAATCATGATTCAAATCATAGTTTGAATCCTCCAAACAAACGTCCCCTTATATTCTCACACAGCAAAAAGCACTTCATTACCTTCAAGGTGGCAGCAGAATATTGGGCAATCACCAAATTGGAAAATCATACCCTTTTGACGTCTTATGAAAACGACAACGTCAAGGAAAACATCCCACAGCAAAATTACAAGTTTTCAACTAAGCAAAATATTCTACTAAAATCTTTAGTAGGGCATGAAAAAAATATTTTATCTATTGATCAGAAGTAAGAATTATTGATTAATTATATATATATTTTTTTTCATAAAACTATAATGAAACCCCTTATATTCTGTCAAAATTACGAAACCACCTTTTAATTGCAATATTTTACGTGAGTGTTTCTGACTCAAACTCTGTTAATTTTTGATGGAAAATGAAAATACTCCAATAAAATTGTACTGTGTTTTCAAGCCTTAATTTCTAAACAATGTATGAACCCTAACACTAACAAAAAGTACAACCAAGAGTTTTGAGAGCTTCCCTATCGGCCGCCGCCCTAGCTCACCAGCATAGCTTGTCCACACCTCAATAGCCCCTACCTCTCTTCTCATCTAAGCATTCTATGTAGCCCGTTGTAACATGTTGGCGCGACTTATTTATTTCAGTGATTTAAGTTGAAAAATAAATTTATTTGAGAAAAAATATTATGGCAAAAAAAAAGGGAGAAATGTGAATTTGAATTTTTATGAGACAAAATACTATTATAAAAACTTAAGTTGTAATTTGAATTAACAAAACGAATGAGGTATAAGCCTTATCATTATTATTATTATTATTATTATTATTATTATTATTATTATTTACAAAATGGTGTTTTTAGAAGAAAGCAACCGTGAATCTGCAGATTAATTTTATTTTGTTTATAGTTTTGATACGTTTAATTGTGTTAAAATTATTAGACTTTTTTTCTCTCTTAGCAGAAGGGCATCTTTCTAATTTTTTTTTTTTTTCGCTTGTTAAGAGGATGTTGGTGTAAAATGTTTCAATTAAATGAGCGTCTACTAATTTTTAGTTTATAATCAAGATGTGGTGATGATAATCAATAACGATAAATAACATTAAAGTGATTGTAACAAATACACTTTTTCAGATTTAAGGATGATTTATTTATTAATATGATTTATCCATTCATTTAGACATTAAACATAATATATTTATTCAGATTATCAATTATTTTAATTAATAAATATGAAATTTAAAACAAAAAAAATGCAATTATTATTATTTTTTGTTTAATTTTGAGCTATTGAAACTCATTCATTTTCCCAAATAAAATAAAGCAGCCAGCCATGGGAGATCTTTCCGTTCTATTCTGCCAAACCTGCAAAGAACTACTTAGGTATAGATTTGACAATTGGATGATTCATGAATGATTGTACCATGTTAGTGTAATAATTCCGTTCTATTCTGCCAAACCTGCAAAGAACTAATAATAATAATAATAATAATAATAATAATAACAACGATAATAATAACGATAATAATAATAATAATAATAATAATAATAATAATAATAATAATAATAATATCTTTCTTTCCCAAGTTATTTAACATAAACAATCGAACGAAGCCTGTTTTAATAATACTCTTCATTCATACTTTTCAAGATTTCAACTTTCTCTTCTCAAATCTGTCGCCAGTCATTTCCATACTCACGAAAGTAGCTCTATCTCTTTTGTTTTCTGCGTTTTAATGAACACGCAATAGTTGTCTGCTATTGTTTAGTGTTTGCATGATTGGGAAAAAGTTTGTTTTTTTTTTTTGTGTTGTCTCTGAGATTTAATTATTAGTGTGAAGTGAATCTTTGTTCTGTTTTTGATTCTATTGCTTTGCTTATCACCCCAGAAGACCAAAATCACTGCCCTGTTTATCATACTAGAATTCTTGGATTTGTTTTGGTACTACACTAGAATTTAAAGCTTTTGTTGTTGTTGTTGTTGTTGTTGGTTGGTCTTAGTTTTTAATGAATGGAAAATCAAATTCAGATCCATTGCAGCTATTAGTTACTTAGAACAAACCAGCTCCTCCTTCCCGCAAATGGGTTTTAAGTGTTTGTCAGCTTAGAGTTTCTTCAACAATGAACTCGATTTAGAAATCTATGTCATTGTTTTGTCCCCACCTTACGTTTGATAAAATGCTTGAGTCATTATTATTAATTATGTTTTAGATAAGTTCTGTACACGGTTCATTCATTTCATAGTCTCTTGTCTTTGGCCGTCTAAGAAAGCAGTTTTGTTTTTCTTTTCTTTTTGAGGATTTAGCTCAATAGGGCATCTTTTGGGACTAATCTGTTTGTTTTCCGAGTTAGTCACTGCGAATTCATATGCAAAATCAACCATCCATAACAATAAAAGCATTATTTTTTGTTTGATTACTTGGAGACTCTAACTAATGCTTGACTCTACCTTTGTATTGTACTAGTTTGTGAAGGATTTTAGATTTCCATATTCACTCAACTCTCGTGCATCTTAAACGAATTCGTTTGCTAATAATCAGCTTTGTCTGAGTCTGGTGGCTTTTCTTTTGGCTTCAGATCGTGACGATGGAGAAAATGAGTGGTAGAACAAGCCAACTGTTCCGAGGATCAGTTACTTTTCTAAGGAAATGCTTGTTTAATGTAATATCTATCGGTCCAATTCCCGACCACATTGCCTTCATCATGGATGGAAACAGAAGGTACGCGAAGAAGCAGAACTCTGCCGAAGGAGCTGGGCACAAAGCTGGGTATTCATCTCTCATGTCCATGCTCGGGTACTGCTATGAGTTGGGAGTGAAGTATGTAACAGTATATGCCTTCAGCATAGATAATTTCAAGAGGCGACCTGAAGAGGTTCAGTATCTAATGGATCTGATGCTGGAAAAGATTGACGAGTTGCTTGAGCACGAAGGTATTATAAACCAATATGGTATTAGGGTATATTTTATTGGTAACTTGAAACTTTTGAATGAGCCTGTCAGAGTTGCTGCTGAGAAGGCGATGAAAGCCACCGCGAAAAACAACAAAGCTGTTCTTTTAGTTTGCGTGGCCTATACTTCGCGTGATGAGATTGTGCATGCCGTTAAAGAATCCTGCAAAAACAAAAGACGTGAACTTCAAACACATCTTGGAAGCAAGGTGGCCAATGGTGCGAGTGAAGGAGTTGAAGAGGATAAGAAAATGGGGCTTAACAAGGGTTTAGTCATTCATGATGCTCAAGATGACGGATTGGAAGGATCTGAAGCTGTAGAAAAAACGGATAGAATGCTGTATAAAGGTGAAGGTAATTCGGATGATATTGCAACTAGAACTTGCAAAGGTTTGCTTGAAGATGCAGAAGTGAGAGAGAAGCAAAGGAAGCTTCCTAGTATAAAGCTAGTAGATGTAGAGAAGCATATGTACATGGGAGTAGCACCCAATCCTGACATCTTAATCCGCAGTTCGGGCGAAACCCGCCTCAGCAATTTCCTTCTTTGGCAGACTGCCAATTGCTCATTGTCTTCTCCTGCAGTTCTTTGGCCAGAGTTGGGTTTAAGGCACTTGGTGTGGGCAGTTTTGAACTTCCAGAGAAGCTACCAATACTTTGAGAAGAAAAGAAAGAAGATATAGGTGATGTAACTTTTTCTAGTCTTACAAACATGGTATTCAAACAGTGAGAAAGAGAATAACGCTTGAATCAAGGTTTTTTTCCCCCTTTTTTTTTTTTTTTTTTTTTTTTTTTTTTTTTTTTCTGAAGAAAGAATAATTGCTTGAATCCCTTTTGAGCTTGGAAGCTTAAACAAGGATTGCGCACCAACTTGTTTGATACATACATTCAGAACTATCTATTATACTTCGACTTGAGTGGGCTCCAATGTAGGACACAGATTATAAATGGAAACTTGATTTATTATTATTGTTATTCTTCTTCTTATTGTTATGTAACTATTCCATTTTAGTGTCACTAGTATAGAAGTGCATTAACAATTTTGGATGAGCTGCTCATCAAAGTTTATCAAATTTGTGAAAATGCAGCAAAGATTTAATTCAAAATATCGAATTGCTCTTGCCATTTGGATTGTTTCATTTTGTAGGAAGGCCCTTTCCAATACAAGTTGTCCATGAAAATGTTCTGCTTTTGCTATTTGTGCCTCTCTTCTTCCCCTTCTTCTGAAGACCGTTTGCCGTTGTGAATCTTGTGATAGTGTTTATAAAAAGAAATACTGAGATAATTCAAGTGGTTTTGCGTATATTTGCCGAGTTCAAAATGATTCTGAAAATTTTCTTCTCTCTCTATCTTGTTTTCCATTATAACTCTGAAGTCAATAATTTTTTTATTGCTTTTTTTCATTATTTATTTGGCAATCCAGTTTTTTTATTGCTTTTTTTATTATTTATTTGGCAATCCAGCAGACGAAAAGCACTGCTTCATTTATCACTGTAGAATTATTGCCACTTGTTTTAGTTTTGGCAGTACATTAGAATTTAGCTATAATTGGGCATTTTAGTTCCTTTTTTTTTTAATATACGAAAATGAAATTCAGACCAAATGCAATGGCCAACTTTAAGTTAAATAGAAAGCAACTTTAAAAGGATTATAGAGCCATGAACGAACCAATACCAACCAGATCTGGTTGGTGGAGAAAGAGGCTTTTTCCCGCGACCTCACGTGCTTCCACACTCACGAGGTGCAAACTCCGCGGGGTGGTATGATCTGACTCGTTGGCCGCACGCCCAAAGCTGGCATTCCTTTATGTGGGATATCTAATCCTTTTCTCCTCTCCACGGAGGAGATCCCAGGTGTAGAGTTCAAATCCATCTACCCAAGTTCAAAGAAAGAAACAACAAACATTGTGAAGGATTTTAGAATTATTCATCCACTCGACTCGCATACCTCTTAAACAGATTCGCATACCTCTTAAAAGAAGCTTCCTAGTATAAAGCTGGTAGATGTGGAGAATGTTAGGCTCCTGGGAATTCTTTTGGAAATAATTGTTGATTGTGAAAAAATAATAGCGTAATTGAATGGAAAATAAACAGAAAACACGTCTGGTTCCTTTTATTAAAGCAAAAAGAAACGGAAATATAAATAATATCAGGAATTCGAGGACCCTTTAGCCTCTCAAGTGATCGTCTCTTAATAGTAAAACTCCCGATCCCTTATCTATTCAAGGCCTAGGCTATTTATTCTCATCCCTGTAACTAACAAGCCACAACCCTCCTATTGGAAAACGTATCCACTTGCCTTCACACATCCCAATGCCGAATATCTTAATCGTAACGCTTACCCCGAAGCTAACTGATACTCTAAATTACCCTCCAGCCCTTGCTTGCACTTCTTCCTTTTTCTGGCATACACGAACTTGAGAGGTGGAGACCTAACATTAACCCCCTCCTCGAGTACAACCTTATCCTCAAGGTTGTAATCTAGAAATTGCTCCCAAATCACAGTGACAGGTTCCCAAGTGGCATCTCAAGAAGGTAGTCTGGCCCATGAACTAGAATCTCGGCCACGTGACGACCCCCTACAATGACGGTGCGAGAACCCAAGATGGCAGCAGGCTGCACTAGAAGTTCGAGATCCGCGGTCAACTGAGCAGGGAGAGGTTGACTCTTGTATTGCTGACCCTTAAACTGCTTTAACTGTGATACATGAAAAACCAGGTGTATCTTGGCGGAGGCTAGTAGATCCAAGCGGTATGCAACCGGTCCCACTTTCTCCAAAACAGTGAAAGGCCCATAGAAACGCGGGCTCAGTTTTTCGTTAACTTTCCGAACTAGAGATTTCATGAAGTAAGGGCGAAGTTGCAACAAAACCAAATCACCCGGGGAGAATTGGATCTCTCGGCGATGCCGATCTGCAAAGAGCTTCATATGTTGCTTAGCCAACCTTAGATGCTCCTTAAGTGCATCCAATATCTGATTACGCTCCTGAAGGTTGATAGCGACCTCATGGACAACAGTTGAACCATCTTGAAAACGGTAGAGAGCAGGAGGATTGCAGCCATATACTGCCCGAAAAGGGGAACACTGAATGGACGCATTATAAGATGTGTTGAACCAATATTCAGCCCATGGCAAAAAGGAAAGCCATAACCGTGACTTGTCACAAGTAAAGCAGCGAAGGTACGTTTCCAGACAATGGTTGGTAACCTCAGATTAACCGTCAGTCTGCGGGTGGTAGGCAGTGCTCGGCTGGAGTTTGGTCCCCTGCAGCTTGAACAAGTCACACCAGAACAGACTCATGAAAATCGGGTCGTGGTCACTCACAATCGAACGAGGAAAGCCATGCAGGCGGATGATTTCGTGAACAAATAATGAGGCTACATGCTTAGCTGAGAACAGATGAGCCAAGGGGCAGAAATGTGCGTATTTAGAAAGCCGATCGACGACTACCAAGATAGTGTCCATTCACTGAGATTTAGGTAGACCCCCAATGAAATCCATAGCGAGATCTTCCCAAATTTACTGCGGAACCAGCAAGGGCTGCAACAAGCCCGCTGGTGACAAAGCTTCCATTTTAGCTAGTTGACACTTTTCACAGCTGGATACATAATCTTTGACAGTCTGTTTCATACCCTTCCAAACAAAATTTACCGAAATCCGTTTGTACGTCCGCAAGAACCCCGAGTGGCCCCCTACAACTGAACTGTGGAAATCATGAAGCACCTGAGGTATCCAAGCTGTTGGTAGAACTATCCAGTCCCGAAACCACAATAATTAATTGTGAACACCATAGCCTTCACTTACGGGCCTACCCTTGCGGATATCCGTGATGAGGGCACAGCAATCTGCATCCTCAAGCTGTCCCCGTTTAATGGCTTCTGTGTTGACCTGGTGAAGGACTGAGAGCTGCAAACTGCACATGTGAGTCTTCCCCAAGGCGGGAAAGTGCATCCGCCACCCGGTTCGCTGCACCCGGCTTATATTGCACCTCGAAATCATAGCCCAACAACTTGGTAATCAGCCGCAACTGTTCGGGTGGTAAGAATCGTTGGTCCAAAAGAAATTTTAGGCTTTGTTGATCTGCTCGAATGATTAAATGCCCCCCTAAAAGGTATTGTCGCCATTTTTAGACTGCATCAGCACCGCGCCAACCCCGCTACCCGATGCATCAGTCTTTAGGATAAACTCCTTAGTGAAATCCGGCATTGCTAGTACTGGAAGTTCAGTCATGGTGCGCTTAAGTCGACAGAAAGTGGCCTCCTTTGTGGGTGTCCATGTGAAGGTTCCTCTCTTGGGCAAATCAGTGAGGGGCCGAGCGAGTGAGCCATATTCCTGAACAAATCATCGATAGTAACCAGTGAGATCGAGGAATCCACGAAGTTCGCGGACATTTTACGGAGACGGCTAGGACAACATCACACTGATTTTGGAAGGATCTGCGGACACTCCCTCTGCCGAGAGCACATGACCTAAATAATTGATCTGCCCTTGCCCAAAGAAACACTTCCCGTAGTTAGCAAAAAAGGCCTCGCTACGCAGCACTTCCAACACGCTCCGTAGGTGAGTATAGTGGTCCTCCCATGACCTGCTATAAACCAATATATCGTTAAAAAACACTAAAAAAAATTTTCGCAGGAAAGGGCGGAATACCGAGTTCATTAGTGCTCGGAAGGTGGCCGGCATGTTGGTAAGGCCGAAGGGCATGCCGAGGAACTCCTAATGTCCCTCACACATCTGAAAAGCCGTCTTCTCCATATTGCCCTCGTGAACTCGTATATGATGATAACCATACTTTAAGTTTAGTTTAGAAAACACCATCGCGCCATGTAATTCATCCAACAACTCATCAATTATTGGAATCAGAAACTTGTTCGGAACCATCAACTGATTCAAAGCCAGCCGCCATCTTTCTTCTTGACCAGGAGCACCGGACTAGCATAAGGACTGCTGCTGGGTCGAATGATCCCATAGGCCATCATATCCGCTACTAACCTCTCAATTTCAGCCTTTTGAACCTGCGGGTAACGATAGGGTCTGATGTTTGGTGGTGTGGCACCATATCAAAGGACAATGCAGTGCTCCCTTATTCGTTGTGGAGGCAGTCCTTCAATCGTGCTGAATACAGTGTGGAATTCATGGATGAATTGTTCACACCGTGGCGGGATTGGGCAGATTTCCCCTTCTGCCTGTTCGTCGTTTGCTACGCGAATTTCTAACAGTACCCCATCCCTTGTATTGGTCCAAATTTGAGATAAGGAGCGCATGCTGATCGGGGAATAACTCAAGGAAGGGTAACTTGTCCAACATACCTATTTCGCCTCTTTCTGAAACCTCATAGTGAACTTGGCCCAATCCGCTCGAACCTCTCCTAATGTCTGCGACCATGAAATTCATAAGACCAGATCGGCACTGTCCAACTCAAATGGAAAGAAATCTATGACTACTAGATATCCCTGTACAAGTACCTGTACTCCTTTGCAAACTCCACTCTATTGGAAACTCATTCTATTACCTACCTCGATCTTGTGCCGAACAGATAAATCAGTGGGTATGGCTAGACTGTCCACTAGATCCCTAGCAATGAAGCTGTGAGAAGCCCTACTGTCCACTAAAATGATCACTTCCCTCTCTCCCAGCGTCCCTTTTAGCTTCATCATTTTTGCCGTGACCATTCCCTTGAGAGAGTACATAGATAACCCCAGAGCTACCTCCACCGGCCTTCCCGTATCCTTGGTTGGCTCATCCTCTTCTTCCTGGCTCTCCCCTTCACTTCCCTCGTCTTCCCCCACTGCGAGAAGCACCTGCAGTTGCCGATTTTTGCATCGGTGGCCTGGGCTGAATTTCTCATCGCACTTAAAGCATAACCCACGTGCTCGCCTGTGCCGGACCTCATCGTAGGACAATTGCCAAAAATTGGAGCCACCATCCGTCATTGG